TAATGAAAAACAGAGAATAATGAACACAGATAAAGATTTAAAATTATGTCACCCTCTCCAAACTTAGTTAATACATTGTCCTCAATGTAAGATTAACAAAAGATTAACGACATAATTTTAAGGACAAAATGAAGAAGAAAAGTCAAAATGGGATAAACAATACTCCCCTGATCAAAACGATGACTGGGATGGAAAGCTGGGCCTGGCATCATCATCGCCAGGAGGGGAGGGAAGGCGAGACAAGATCTCTCTCAACATGGCAGACTGCTGGGTCTGCTCCATCTGCATGGCCTGAACCTTCGTCTCCAAACCCCCTAGACGGTCCCAAGACTCGTTCACCCGCCACTGTATACCATCCATCCGGCCAACGTACATGCCCAGACGCCCGTCAAAGGTACTCATCTGTCGGTGTGCTTCGATGGATTCACTACTGGCAGTGGACGCAAAGTTTCGTGCAGATGCCATATCTGTCTGCACCTGCTGGATGGTGGTAGTCAGTGCCCCAAAGGATTGCTGAAGCTGCTGCATGTCTCGACCGTGTCCAGTCATAGTAGCAATCATCTGCCGCAATAACTGGGTGTCCACGTCAGCTGGTGGTGGTGGAGCCTGTGGCACGTCAAAGTTCGCATCTGCTTGTCCCTCTGCAGCCTGTTGCTGTCGCCGACACTCGTTTTTCAATTTCTGTTGATGTTTAATCCTGGCACGGTCCTGGGTCTCGAGTGTGAGGCGTTTGATAAAATGACTTGGTTTCTCCGGTGCCTTCCCTGGCTGAACTTGTATGCCAGCAGCTCTACAAATTCCACTTATCAGGCTAGAAAAAATCAGTGATGTGTACCTGTCACCCCATGCACCTATAACGTGTATCTGATCGTAAATGTAAGTGGCCAAGTCAATCTTGTTCCCCCGAACTAAGTGGTAAATGAAACCTGCCTTCTGATCTGTGAATGTCGTCCTATGGGAGATTGGCTCGATGTTGTGGCAGATGAACAACCATAGGATGGCTATAGACGGAGTGAGGTCAATCTGATACCAATCAGCAATAGGGAGTGGCCAAGCATTTTCCCGTCCCAATAAAACTTCAGCAACTTCAACCCAGTTGAAATCATGCGGGGACCGGGACTACATTTATCCAAGTGAGCTGATAGTAGTCATGTATTACCTCAGGTGAAAACATGATCCATTTGCCCCGAGCCCAAGTCTGATACAGATGGTCGGATCCCGGTGTGTCTATTTCAGCATTGAAATTCGCATAGAACTCCCGCACCAAATTTTCATAGACGGAGTGTGGTCTTTCAATCACCTTCTCCCACCCGCAGTTGTGGACTAGATAAACCAATTTAAAACCCCGAAAATCCTCCAACTTAACTGGTCTTTCAGGGATGAGCGCCCATTCCCGGACAACATTAGCATAGCGGGCTGCTTGGTCGGAAGAAAGAAAGAGCCGGACACCCCCTTCGGGTTCCCTAGTCCGGGCTGTGCCAGATGTGAAACCAACTTTCTCCTTTCCCTTTGATGTACGCTTTGGGGGCATCCTGCAAAGGCAAAGAAATACTAGTCAGTAAACTGCAGTATTAAAAAAAATGATAGGGGGAAAGAGGTAAGCGAGACAAATAGTTCACAAATTTTCCAAACTTGCTTCAACATGCATATAGAACACCATGGTGTGCACTTATCAGAATATGACAAAGAGGGAAGTGTAAAAAGAATGCTGAGGTGAAAAATTGGAAAGTGAGGCCACCACATGAAAAAAAAAATCATATCCATGACCGAGTGCGTATGTTCGGCCCCGGACATCGTTGAAAAATATCGATATTCCCCCGGATAAGCTCCAGGCATATGAGAGTATTCAATGAGATCTACCACATATTCATATTTCAAAGCAAATGGACTTCGTTTGGTGTGCCAATTAATGGTGGAAAGTAGGGGACGTAGGGTGCCGTGACATGCCGTGATCTAGCCATGTGCTTATGCGTTGCAAGATGGAAGTGTTGTGATACATGGTCTCTCAGGTGGTTGTGAATGTGATAATATGTAAATGTCAAGAAAACATTCACAAGAATATTTAAGGAAAGCAAAATGACAAGTTACACACACACGGAGGTCCAAACGACCAAAGTAAACGAGTACCTTGATGATTAAGTGTGCATGTTCGCCCCCGAACATCATCGAAAAAAACTTGAAGTTGTCCCGACCTCCGGGCATATGAAAGTACGTAGTGTGGAGTGACACATATTCAATTTTCAAGCTCATTGGACGTCGTACGGGTACGTAACGCAAGGGACGAAGTGGGTGCGATGAGGTGACGTGAACCTAACACATGTGCCTTAATGTGTGAGGTTGGGAGGTGCGTGTTTCGAGCTTAATTTCGATGACATGTAGGCATCACGTATATGAGAATGCGTATATTCAAAATGTCTAATACGGAAACGGGCAAAATGTAATAAAAATTTCACGTGGGCAATTCATCGAACATGTAGCATGCAAGCTTTGTAAACCCTATAGAATACATATTTGATAATGTCCCTCCTATTCACAACACAATCTAAACACCAAAATGTACAAAACCATCGACTACTTATTGCCCAAACTCCACAACAAGCTTGAAATATGCATAGTTCATTACGAAACAAATTTAAAGAAAATCATAGAGAGGAAGGAAGGAGAGATTACCTTGAAGTCTCAATGGAAGTGTGGAGTAATGAAGTAGCACGCCAATGGGGGGGAGAATGACCGTGTAATGTGCGTGAGAGGCATGTGTGAAGGTTGTTGTGCGATGTCTAAGGGAATAGGGAAAAAATGTGGGGGAAAAATGGTCCGGTCATGGTTTTAACCCATGACCGAACTCTACTACGCAGCCGCATAGTACAATACTATGCGGTCGCATAGTAATAGATTTTTCCCCCTTTTAACTTTCGATAAGTGTCTATGCGGTCACATAGACAATTTTTTTTTAATAAATAAAAACGTTCTTTTATGTAGAAATGCATGAACTCTACTCCCTAAACTCCCAAAATCATTCCAAACTCACCGATGACCTAGAAAAAATGCAAATGCAGAAATGAAATAATTCTAAAAATAATGTGAAAAATAAGCTAATAAAAGGATACAGTGGGTTGCCTCCCACCCAGCGCTAGATTATAGTCAATAGCTCGACTTTACCGTGTTGCTTCATTCTGGTGGTCTAAGATGAACGGTAGACTTTTCATTTGAAAAATCGTCGCCCCAATAGTGCTTCAGACGCTGTCTATTGACCTTGAATGTTCCCTTGCTGTCGTGAGTGATTTCAACTGCCCCATGTGGAAAAACTTGTGTAATAGTATACGGACCAGACTACAGTTTTCCAGGAAATAGCTTAAGCCTAGAGTTGTAGAGTAGCACTTTCTTCCCCTCCATAAATTCACGCCTCTGAATGTCCATGTCATGCCATTTCTTGGTGCCCTCTTTGTAGATTCTTGAATTCTCGTAGGCTTCCATTCTGAGCTCATCCAACTCATTAAGTTGTAGGAGACGTTTTTCACCCGCAGCCTTCAAATCCAAATTCAATTTCTTCATTGCCTAGTAAGCGTGATGTTCTATCTCGAGGTAAGTGGCATGCTTTCCCGAAAACCAGTCGATATGGTGACATTCCTATAGGGGTCTTGAATGCAATCCTATATGCCCACAAGGCGTCGTCCAATTTCTTAGACCAATCCTTTCGTGACGAGCTTACTGTGACTTCGAGTATTCGCTTCAATTGTCTATTGGACACTTCGACCTGTCCGCTGGTTTGGGGATGATATGCAGTGGCTATATGATGTTTAACGCCATATTTAGCCAACAATTGTTCGAACTGACGATTGCAGAAATGTTTGCCCCTGTCACTGATTATAGCCCTCGATTTTCCAAAACGGGTAAAAATATGTTTTTTTAGAAACTCAATCGCCACCTTCCCATCATTGGTAGGCAGTGCAACGGCCTCTACCCACTTTGATACGTAATCCATAGTCACTAATATATACTGATTAGAGAAGGATGGGGGAAATGGCTCCATGAAGTCGATCCCCCAGACGTCGAATAGTTCCACCTCCAGGATACTATTCAAAGACATTTCATTTCTCCTGGATATATTTTCAATGCGTTGATATCGGTCACACCTTTTCACGAATTCAAAAGCATCTTTAAATAGTGTAGGCCAATAAAAACCTGATTGAAGGATTTTCGCTGCTATTTTTAAAGCACCAAAATGCCCTGCATATGTAGATAAATGACAATGTTCTAATATCAAAGGCACTTCTTCCTCAGGTACGTAGTGATGAACAATTTGATCAGCCCCTCGCCTGTATAGAATGGGATCCTCCCACAAATAATATTTCAATTCAGAGAAAAATTTCTTCTTCTGGTGATTGGAGTAATCAGGCGGCATGATAGACCTGGCTAAGTAGTTAACGATGTCTGCATACCGGGGTACATCCCCAAACCAAAAATCTGTTCATCTGGGAAGACTTCGTTGATTTCCATTCCACTGTTTCTGTCTGTTCTGTGGCCTCGAGTCGAGATAAGTGGTCTGCCACTACATTTTCACTACCTTTCTTATCCATGATTTCCAAGTCAAACTCTTGAAGCAACAGTATCCAACGAATGAGACAGGGCCTTGCATCCTTCTTTTCCATTAAATACTTGATAGCAGCGTGATCTGTGTAAACAATGACCTTTGATCCCACGAGATATGACCGAAATTTGTCAAAGGCGTAGACTACGGCAAGGAGCTCTTTTTCTGTAGTGGTATAATTGAGTTGAGCGTCGTTCAAGGTCTTACTTTCATAGTAAATCACGTAAAATATCTTATTTCTTTGTTGTCCCAAGATAGCCCCAACAGCGTAATCACTGGCATCACACATTAATTCAAATGGCAGATTTCAATCTGGTGTAATGATCACGGGTGCTGAAATCAACTTCTCCTTCAAGGTGTTAAAAGCGAGCAGACACTCATCTGTGAACTCAAATGTGGATTCCTTCATCAACTAACAGCACAACGGTTTAGTAATCTTTGAGAAATCTTTGATGAACCTTCTGTAGAAACCGGCATGCCCGAGGAAACTATGAACACCTTGCACGGATGTAGGTGGCGATAATTTATCGATCACCTGAATCTTTGCTCTGTCCACTTCAGTACTCTTTGCTGAGATTCTGTGTCTTAGCACGATGTCTTCCTGTACCATAAAGTGACATTTCTCCCAATTCAATACCAAGTTAGTCTCCGTACATCGCTATAGCACAAGACTTAAATGCTCCAAGCACTCATCAAATGAAGACCCGAATACTGAGAAATCGTCCATGAAGACCTCGATGAATTTCTCAATCATATCTGCCATTATGCAGCACTAAAAAGTTGCAGGAGCATTGCATAAACCAAACGGCATCCTACGGTATGCAAAGGTACCGTAGGGGCAAGTGAAAGTTGTCTTCTCCTGATCGTCAGGTGCTACTGGAATCTAATTATACCGGGAATATCCATCCAGAAAATAATAATGTGAATGCCCTGCTAGTCTCTTCAGTATCTAATCAATGAACGGTAGTGGGAAGTGATCCTTTCGAGTAGCAACGTTTAGTTTGCGGTAATCGATGCACACTCTCCATCCAATCAAAGTCCGTGTAGGAATCAACTCATTTTTCTCGTCTTCTATCACTGTGATATCCCCTTTCTTGGGAACAACTTGTACTGCACTGATCCAAGCACTATCTGATATTGGATAGACGATGCCTACGTCAAGCAACTTCAATACCTCAGCCCTAACCACTTCCTTCATGTGTGGATTCAATCTCCGCTGACCATCAATGCTTGGTTTGAATTTTTCCTCCATGAGTATTTTGTGCATGCATAGCGACGGACTGATCCCCTTGATATTTGCAATCGACCATCCAATGACTGTTTTATTTTCCCTTAGCACCCGAAGTAGCTTCTCTTCCTCCACCTCACTGACAGGACTCAAAATAATAACCGGAAGTGTAGAAGATTCCCCCAGGTAAGCATATCTCGGGTGTGGTAGCAGTTGCTTGAGTTCCAATTTGGAAGGTTGCTGAATAGATGGCACTGACTGTGTAGTCCTGGTTCCCAGCTCTTCGAAGTAATGTCTGCGCATGTATGACGGATTAGTTTCCAAAAATCGTACACATGTTTCAATCTCACTTGAATCAGTTTGAGTGGATTGAGAATGTGCAATGCACGCCTCGTAAGCATCGGAAGGATGATGTAGCCGAAATGTATCTTGAATTATTCTGTCAATTACATTAATCTGGAAACGGCTGTTTGACTCAGTCGGGAATTTCATTGCCTTGAACACGTTGAATGAGATTTGCTCTTCGCCAAGCCTCAATATAAGCTGCCCTTTCTGAACATCAACAATCGCTCTTCCAGTAGCTAGGAAAGGTCGCCCCAATATAAGTGGAACATCCTTATCTTCCTCCATATCCAAGATAAGAAAATCGGCTAGAAATATGAACTTCTCCACTTTTACCAATACGTTTTCAATGATCCCTCTTGGATGTGTAAGGGATCGATCTGCTAACCGTAATGTAACCGTTGTGGCTTTAGCTTCTTCCAAGCTGAGTTTTCTGAAAACAGAAAGAGGCATTAAATTAATACTTGCACCTAAATCATACAATGCTTTATCAAAATGACAATTTCCAATAATGCAAGGTACATTAAAGCTCTCTGGATCCTTTAGTTTTGGAGGCAACTTTCTCTGGATTCTGGCACTGCACCCCTCAGTTAGCATCACTGTTTCGTGTTCTTCTATCTTTTGCTTGTTGGAGAGGATATCCTTCAGGAATTTTGCGTAACTTGGTATCTGAACAAGTGCTTCAACAAATGGTATGTTGATGTGTAGTTTCTTGAAGACTTCAAGAAATTTACTGTATTGCTGATCCAATTTGTGCTTTTTCAATCTTAGCGGAAACGGAATAAGAGGCTCATGAGAGTTGATAGGAATGGCATCCCATGATGTATTGGAATTCTCCTTGACCACATTCCTTGTTGCTTGTTCAGTTTGTTCCACAATTTCGTCATCCGAGGTTGGTGTTGATTCCTTGCTAGTTACTGATCTTTTGACATGTATCTCCGATAGTTGTACTCCACTTCTGGTTGTTATAGCCTTTGCGTGCTCCTTAGGGTTGATTTCAATGTTGCTAGACAGATTTCCTGGTGCTCTACCCATAATGGAGATTGCCATCTATCCCATTTGTGTCTCCAAATTTTTGATTGCTGCACTCTGGTCTTGAAGAGTTGCATCTGTCTTTCGTATAAACTGATTGTTGGCTTCCATAGATTGATTGGTTGTTACCATGAACTTTTCAAACATCTCTTCCAATGGTGGCTTTTTATCCTACTGCTGATATTGACCTTGTGGTCTGTTTTGATTCTGATTGCTCCACGAGAAGTTTGGGTGTTTTCTCCAGCCCTGATTGAAGGTTTCCGAATGTGGGTTGTTTTGTTGGCGTTGACCCCATTGCACAAAATCTACATGTTCGACCCCTTGTGTGAGAATTGGACAATTAACAGTATTATGGTCTGCTCCACATTCTTCACAACTCGGCTTCTTGACTTGTTTAGCAGTGGCGGACTGTGAAATGCTCTCAACCTTATGGAACAAAGAGTCTATCTTTGCAGATAGTGCGAAATAAATATTTACTTCATAAACCCCCGATGATCTCTTCTGAACCACTCGATCTGTAGACCACATGGCTGAAGTTGTTACCATTCTCTCAAATAGCTCCCATGTTCCATCAATTGTTCTCGTGGAGATAGACCCCTTAGATGAGGAATCCACCATGCTCTTGAAGGATGGAAGTAGTCCAGTGTAGAAAAATGGATCTGTCTTCTTGTCAAAGCCATGTTGCGGGCACTTCCTCAACATATTCTTGAAACGATTCCATGCCTCTTCAAATGATTCGGACTCACCTTCGTTGAAAATAGAGATATCATGCCGCATTTTGGCTACCTTTGCTGGTGAGAAGAACTTAGTGCAGAACTTGTGAGCTAGCTCGTTCCAGGTGTTGATGCTTGCGACGGGAAGCGAATCCAGTCATTCAAGTGCCTTATCCCGCACGGTGTGTGGAAACAACCGCAGTCTTATAGCATCGTCCGAGATACCCTGGTACCTGAAGTGTTGGCACATATCCAGAAATCGGGATATGTGTGTATGTGGGTTCTTACTAGTCATCCCGTGGTATTGATGCCCATTCTGAAATAGTTGAATCACATTTGTTTTCAGCTCAAAGTTCAGTTGCCCAAATGGAGGATACACAATGCTAGGTTGACTTTGGACCACCAACGGAGCCATGAAGTCCCTAAGTACTATATTCCCATCATCTTTAACTACCATACCTTCATTGAGTGGAATTGTCGATCGATTTTGTTCGTTAGCCATTTGTTGTGCCGCTCTTGCTTCTCTTTGCCTATGACAGAATGTGCGTTCGATCTCTGGATCTATGGGAACCAAATCTTGATCAGGTCCTCCTTGCATATAAGCCCTAAGATTGCAAAATCAATACAAAATTAAATTGAAGTAATAATAAACTAAACCTAGTAAGCTAACTATTACTAATCTAGATAAGTTCGAATTAGTGTCACAAAAGATAAAATTAAAACTAAATTTCAGTCCCCGGCAATGGCGCCAAAAACTTGTTCGCAAAATTGTTTATTCCGATTTTAAATCCACCGCAAGTGTACGGTTCATTAAAAAGTAGTAAAATGGACTATAAGTCCAAGTATCGATCCCACGAGGATTGAATTAATTCGAATTAATCTAATATGACCTTAACTGAAACACGACAACCAAATTGCGATTTTGTACTTTAACTAACAAAATGTAATCGTTGATACAATTATGGATGAGGGATTATACTAAGTTCAAAGTAACTTGGATGCAATTTAACTAGAATTTTATAAAATTAATGGATGTTCTAACACACTAGGATCACGAATTCCCAAGCAATACCCATTCAATTGTCAATTATGCAAATTTGACACACAATTCCACAAAAGATGAATCGATATTCCTATTTTAATTTAGCAATCTCTCTCGAGTAATGCCAAACCTATCCCAATAGATGATTCAACTATATTTCTATAACGAATACTAATATACTGACATGCATTATAAATTCACGAATATCCAATGATTCACACAAGGCATAGAGGTATATTTCTATCCTCTGTCAGACCCTATGATGATTTATACTATGTCAAACCTATTTCCCTTCTTTCGAATGCATAAAACAGGTCACCACAATCATATAATTACGTGCACAATAATTATATGAAAATAAAAACGAAATCAATCAATCAATTCCGGAATTTGTGTTCACATACGTCAAAAATCCAAAACAACAATTAAATGCAGTATTACAAGGTTCATCGATCTCCTAGTAGTGATAAATCTAGCCTAACATGCTAAAAAGAACAAAACTTAAAAATGTTTGAAGAAACGACATCACCCGAATCAATCTTCAATCCAATCTTTACTTGGCGCGATGTTCTCTCCCTCGTTTCTCCTTCAAAATCTTTCAAAAACATGTAAAAACGACGTCCCCTTCGTTCTGGTCGAGTTTTTGTATTTATAGGACCCTAGAATTGTTGTTTTCATAAGAGTTTCGGAAGAAAAATGAAACTAAATTTTTCCTCAATTTTTGCTCTATGCGACCGCATAGAGCAATTTTATGCGTCGCATAGAACAATTTTATGTGGTCGCATAGAAGAAACTTTTCAAGCCTCTTTGGTTTTGGTATGGTACTATGCGACCGCATAGAGGATAATACTATGTGGTCGCATAGTACTATCAACTGTGGTAGAAATTGCGTTTTGTTCCTCCCACTTGTATCCTTCACTTCTTAGCATCTTCTCTTCATTCTTTTCATTTCATCACCCCACGATATCATCAATTGGTAATTGGCCTAATCGATTTCTCGATTTGTTCATCGGATCAACTTTTGGATATTTGTACTTTTGGTCCCTGAACTTTCACTTTGCGTCACTTTAGTCCTTTTTCGCGTCTTTTCTCCTGAATTTCACCATGTTCATCGTTGTTTCCTACAATTCACAAAAGTACAAGATTAAGTCACAATTCAATCATTTTGCTCGTTTTTAAGTCATGTTTGTAACCAAATAAGTGTGCAAAAACACACTTATCAACCACCAACATCCCTTCTCCTTTGTGAAGTTTGAGAGAGTTTGGGTAGTCCAAAGTGAATGTAGAATTCTTGGGTCGAGTTGAGGTAAATAGGTGTTCATTTGATTGTATTCTGAGCCCGAAATCAAGACTTATCGTGGGATTTTCGCTACAATTGGTATAAGTGCTTGTGTTGTTTACAAAAT